GTGTTTTAATACTCTTCTTCCTCCAGTGATGAGTAAATAGCAGGACAGACTAGGTTGTATTGCCTTGGATGGCAATTGGTCTAGGGGAGGGACAACTCAGAATTCAAAACCAGTGGGCTGTTGTTTGGAGACCTTGCGGCACGTAGTGCACCATATCTCTGTATTTTGCCCTTCAACTATAATCAAAATCATATATATACACAACTACCCGAATTACCGGCGCCTTGCTGCGTGACACGTATTTTTTGCAAGAAAATAATGATTGATCTTAAATCATTGTTATAATATGTCGAGAAAAATGATGCATTTCAATAATATTCTATGATCCTGCCGATGTGACTTCAATCTTCTGGCTTTCTCTTTCTATATTTGGGATAGGATTCATTATCTTGTTCAAATTTAAATTTAATTTAAATCAATGGGGAGGAAAATTACAGCCGGGGGTTTGTGCAAAAACAGCTTGATCTGACCTCTTTGATATGTATTTGATGCAATATCTAATTGAATGAATTGATGAGCAGATTTCAACATTGATATGACAGTTGCATTGTCGCAACAAATATGTATTGTAAGGCACTACCCACTGATTGATGTTTTCTTGCTCAACTTGACATCCATATTGTATCATTTTGATCTTGGCAATGTGACCTCCATCTTCTGACTTTCTCTCTCTGTATTTTGGTTAGGAGTCATTCCCTTGTTCAAATTTAAATTTAATTTAAATCAAAGGGAAAAAAATCAGTTTTGAGGGTTCCCCCCCCACCTTTGATCAAAATGAAATATACTTATACATGTACCCTAGGAGTTATTCCGTGGTTCAAATTTAAATCTAATATCAATCAAAGGAAATAAAATCAGTAGACGTTTTGTGTCCTCCCATCCGATGAACCCCATTGATCAAAATGAAATATACTTATCCAAGTACCCTAAGTAATGTAGTTTCAGAATATATGTTGTTATGGGGTTCTATCTTGAAAACCCTAGGAGCAGTTCGAAAACAAACAGACAGAGGTTGCAACATTATATATATAGATTAATATATACTTCTAGAATGTCAGTTTGGAAAGCCAGTATAAAAGTTTGCACGCCCAAAGCTTATATAATCATTGTCTTCATTTTTATTGTTTTTAAGGCAAAGTTTATTTAATATGATCTTCGGTCCATGCCAAACTTGGGAATTCACTGACGATTTTGCATGTACGAAAGTGAAACTCGAAAATATATCGGCTCAAATGAAGTGTTTATAACATCGAAAATTGAAGACAATAATCCCAAAAGGCATGGAATAATGAACATGGATCAGAATTGGTAAAAGAAATCTTCATGCTTTTGTTCCTATCAAAATTGAAATGGATTGTAAGATCTTTAATCAAAGCAAAAAAAAAATCCAGATTCCTATCACCATAATTCCTGTATCGCCATCTTGAAAGGAAAATTCAAGTGTTCACTCATTTGAGAAAACAAAAAAGCGCCTGGGGAGACAGCAAGGCAATAACCAAATACAAAACGCAAGACAATTGGTAGGCATCACATTTACCAAAATGATGGGCGTTAAGGTCGATTTTTCTCTACTGTGTTTTAATTCAAAATGTAAGAGTTCGACAAGTGCAATGATACGGCATTTGACAGTCTGAACTGTATACGTTAATGATAATCACCACAACAGTAATGGAAGCTTGACTTTAAAAATAAGTGGACAGAAGTGTTTGTTTATTTGAGTCAGGTAATGGACTTCAGGGAACACAATCGCCATCACAAAGAGAAAATGGCAAAAAAAAAAAAATAAGAATTATCTCCCTTGCCATGTACGACCGAAAGAGATTGTCTATTCTCATAGATTCAATAAAACATTCATTTTCAAGGCTATACGAGTGATTTTACATAATCATGATCCTTGAGGGCGACAGATCACTAGCATGCACACACAAAATTATATATATATATATATATATATATAAAGACATTTTTATATATATACATACTTTTTTATAGATACAAATATTTGAGTAAATGCTCTGTTTATAATAAACAGTATTAAACAAAATTTACCGGCCTGAATGTCCGAGATATTTTCACGGAAAATATTCGTCCTCCGACAGTTCATTCATATCTGCTCATGGCGTATCAAATGTAAACAAATGACGTCACACATTATGAAATGGACAATTATTTTAAAATTTTAAGATTTTAATACGCCATGAGCAGATATGAATGTACGTGAGAGATTCATGGAAGATTGAAGATTAAATACAGTAAATTCGACCTTACTAACCGAACGCCCCTCTGTGGCCAAATCATCGGTAGAGGCACGTCAAGCTAAATGACGGTTCCGTATAGGATACAGGTTCGAATCTTGTCGGAGGACAAATATTTTCTGTGAAAATTTCTCGGACATTCAGGCCGGTAAATGTTGTTTAATACTGCTTATTATAAACAGAGCATTTACTTAAATATTTGTATCTATAAAAAGAATGTATAAAGATATGAAATGTCTTAAAATAATTGTCGGACTTTTGTCCATTTCTTAATGTGTGATGATATATATATATATATATATATATATATATATATATATATTATGTTATGTTGACGAGAGAGGATTTTGTTGTTTGTTCTTCACGTGTGAGTTCGAATCCTCGTCGCCACTTGTTATGCGCGACGGATAGCAAAAAATAGGTATGTCCTCCGCGTAGGCAGTTGATTTCCTCGTCGCCACTTGTTATGGTCCGGTTCCTTGTACCACGGTGATAGTCCAAGGTAGAACCAATAAAGAAGAACTCGAACACAGTTATGGAATAACACAGATACATTACAAACAGGAATATATACAGAGAAGTAGAAAGTGTTAGTACGAACAATCAGGTTTAGTAGGGAGAACAATGTAGTCTCGAGCAGTATCACTATTCCAATGTCTTGTAGTAATTGTCTGAACGCGACCCTGTTTCGGACTGCCTCTGACTTGACTGACTGACTCGCTCGCTCGCTCTGACTGACTGACTGACTGACAGACTCCTGACGGACTGAACTCCCTGCTTCCTCTTGAAGCGCAGTATTTATTACGTATTGAATAGTCCATTATGTTATTATGGCTAAAGTCCCATAACATATATATATATATATATATATATATATATATATATATGCGGGAATTATGTTTCGCTTTTTGTGTGTAAATGTTAGCATAAATATGTATAATTATTTTAATAAACTCTTAATAGAAGCCAGATATATTGACCCCATTTCATAATAACGGAAAACAGATGAATTAGGAACACGTAAAAAACGTTTGAAAGTAACTGAGTTTTACAATTTACTTACAAACATTAAAAACAGAATCCCTTTCCTTTCTGTTCTGTTAGATGCCAATAATGATTTTTATTTCTTCAATATATAAAATACACACGAGTAAAAATTTATATATATACGTATATGTATGTATGTATGTATGTATGTATGTATGTATTCTGTCTGATCCTCGATGCGCAAAACTTTTATGAAAATAAACTTAAATTTAAAGGAATCAGACTGATTTTTTTTCTTTCTCTTTTTTTTTACTGACAATATGATTTCCACAAGAAAATACACCGTCTACAGAAACATCTGTCGATGAGTAATTCCCATTTCTCTGTTTCTTTCTCGGTCCGTTGATGAAGGACACAGTAGTGTCCGAAAATTCCGAACTTAAAACCTTTCTATCCGTGCTTCATTTCTGTTAATAATTAATGGTTAATAATTAATAAATGTGTACTGTACTGATTATATTGGTACTCTTTTGTTTGTCCTTGTTTTATTAACTAACCTATCTATTTTGCATATTATAAGAAACACACAGGGACCCTGGTATATATATATATATACAGGGTGACCCAAAAAAATGGGAATTTTTAACAATCCAATAATACCAACAGTGGTGGAAGAAAAATATTTTATTCCTAGTAATTGAAACAATAATGGAATTTTCATTTTTTAAAATTTACGTCCTGTAGATGGCGCCCTCCTGTACGAATGCATTCTTGAAATCTGCTGTTGAGATTCCTCATTGACTGCTGCAACATCTCAGCTGGAATACCGTGAATTTCATCTTGAATTCTAAATGGCGAAATGTTTACTTGCTCAAGGTCACTGTCTCGCAGTGTTGCCACTTGCTCATGTCAGGCAATACGCACTTCAAAAATTCTCGTTTTTTGGGGTCACCCTGTATATATATATATATATATATATATATATGCTATTGTTATTACAGGGATGTGTAGGCTATGTAATAGATCGCAGCCCAGAGTTCTAGTCGGATTCGTTACATTCACCTATGCTTTAAATATTACCCCCAGATATGGGTAAAATATTTCGGCTTGTAACTGGAAAACTCATTGTTATTCGAAAAAAAAACTCTTAATGCTATATTCACCCGTAAAAAATGAATTCTTCTTCAATGTGCCGTGTCTTTTCAGGATGTTGGCTACCATGGCTCTCCACAATTTCCTAGACTTTTCTCGCTTTCAATAAATTTTCTCTCTTGATTATCTCTCCTCAACCCAGGGCTGCCATCTCTTTACACAAGCTCGTTAGTCTGGTTTCTCATTTGTCCCTTAAATAGGCCTTGGGAGTGTCAAATTTTCAAAGCCCTCTTTCCTCATTATGCGCCGTAGAAATTTCAACAGCGTTTTTTTCTGATGCCAAGTATAAGCGTATTTTCATCTAAAATTCGTCGTTGCTCTAGGATTTCAGTGTTGCACTTTCCGTGTTTTGTTGACATTTTTGTACGTGTTCGATTTTGGCACCTTCCATTTGTACGTTGTATGTTGGGCTGTTCCTTTTGCTGGTAACCATTCAAAGTGATGTCAGTTCTTTTCTTGTCGCTTTCATTTACTACCTCATGTAGGAATTCCTGTAGTTTTCTTTCTGTACCTGTTATCTACACTGTGTCATCTTTATATCTGACTAGCAGTAGAGCCCGTCGTTGCCCGGGTATGTAACAGTAAGAGATAGATCAAGTATCCACC